TTATTAATAACAGTTATGAGATCATATAATTGTGAATGTATATATGACATTGATAAAATAAAATAAAAAAAATTAAAAAAAATCACGAACACAGCTAGTGTCTTGTCTTATGAGGACAATTGAGCCCAACATTTCTGTTACTAAGTGAAACATTTGTTAATGGAGTTTTGCCCCATTTTATGACATTTTGGGATGGCCCCGGGGGCGTGGCACGAAAGCAACACGACCAGAGAACAGGTCTAACTCCTCTTTGTTACTCCAGCTGTGCCCACATTCACAAGTCGTGGGGCAAAGCTCTCACAAGCGCCTTCAGCAGCCTCTGTCTGCGAGTAATCCAGTAACCAGGTTAACCAATCAGCAACCAGGGCCAGCAGTCCAATAAGCCAGTGTTGTGGCCCACCAGCATCAACAGAGCTGGCGGCAGAGTCAGAGAGTGAGGAGGTTGGGGAGGAACATGGGCCAGTCCTGGAGAATGGGGACGGCTCGGACGAGGGCTCTGCGCCGGAAGCAGAGACGAGGCTGAGGCCGTCTGAAAAGTGATCAGGTGCCTTCGGAGCTAGACAGCAGTGAAGCAGAGGAACAGCTGGAGCCTGTTCCCAGTGTGCGCATGCGCAGAGCTGCCGGAAGAGAAAAGAACAGCTCAGAAATCAGGGTCCACTTTGGGAGTAAAGCCACAGGTGGAGGGTGAATCTTCTGCCAGGACGCAACACTTTTTTTTCACTGCCTTGATCATTTCAAATGGTCACTAAATGAACAGTTGTAAGTTGAGGACCAGCTCTCCTGAATTGGGCAATTTGTAAGCAAGTGTTCCATAATCCCTCCCCCGCCCAATTTTTTTTGTTATTCCTTCTACCAGCTAAATGTCCTTCGTGTTACTTGATTTCAGGGATATAAACAAGGAGACCAAGTTGAAATTCGTTCACACCTCTGTCCACGGGGTAGGCCACGAGTTTGTGCAGTCGGCCTTTAAGGCCTTCGACTTTAGTCCTCCCTTCGCGGTGCCTGAGCAGAAGGACCCCGATCCGGAATTTCCCACCGTAAAATACCCAAATCCAGAAGAAGGGAAAGGTGTACTGGTAAAAACATGATTTTAGTGCATTGTCTTCCCATCTTCACTACGTCTCCCGTCGCTTCGGGCATTTCTTTGCAGCTAAAGCGTAGTTCCGAACGTCGACATTCTTTCAAGCTTGCCTACGCTTGTAACTCTCAAAAAAGGCTAGTCAATTTCTTCGCTTCTTCCGGCTTCTAATTTCCCAGCAGTTCGCAGGCAGCGGTTTTCAAAATGTGAGTCCTTTCATCTTTTTATTTCGCACCTCGTGCTATTTGAACCAGATCGAGCTTCTGAAATCTTTTACGCTTCTTCTTCCTTATGATGTTGGCATTGCGATCTACACTTCTGGAGCTTTGCAATAAATTAGGGGTGTCAAACTCAAGGCCTGCGGGCCGGATCTAGGCCCGCGAGGTGCTTAAATCTGGCTCACGGGGCTGTCCTGGAGATAGCAAAGGACCGTCCCGCAGTGCCTCTGACAGCCAAAAAGGAATGCGCCCAGGTCCTCACACGCCCCCATTTTGGCCACCAAAGTGCTGCAGGAGGCCATCCAGGCTGAAAACGGGGCACAGGGGGGGAGCTGCATGTGGCCCATTGCGGCTCATTTTGTCTGGCAGGGTGCTGCAGGAGGCATCAGTCCTGTCTCCCCCACTTCCCCTCCCATCCGGCCCAAGGAGGAGAACTACAATGCAGATCCAGCTCTTAAAGAAATCCAGTTTGACACCCCTGCAATCAACTGGCGGAGATCTAGGACAATTCGCCATGGCCCAACCTCACCACGGGACCAGAGTTAACCCTAATATCCAAGAAACGGTGGACTAGAAGGGTTAAAGAAAGGATACAAAAGGAGGGACAGAACGAAACAGGATAGGCAAAAATTAAAATAATTTTTAAAATTGTTTTAAATAACTAAATTGAATTGTTGAATTGTCCCGCGGCGAGTTCGCCGCAGTAAGTTGGCGGTGATGAGACGACCGTGGCGAATTGTCCCATTCCTACCATCCATTCTTGTTTTGGTGAGGGTAGAAGATTTTTTTTCTTGGTTTTATTTTGAAGGATAATTTGCTCCGGTCTTTTTACTGTTTTCTCCTTCCAGACTCTCTCTTTTGCTCTGGCGGATAAAAAAGGCGCTCGGGTTATTTTAGCCAACGATCCGGACGCCGATCGGCTTGCAGTGGCCGAGAAACAAGGAAGGTTAGTTTGTCGATTACCAAACTTAATTATTCTTTGTTTGGGAGGAATACCTGAGAAGTATTAAATCATTTTTTTTTAAAAAGAAAACTAATTTTTTGTACTACTGTGTTTCCCCAAAAATAAGACAGGGTCTTATTTTCTTTTGACTCCTGGATGGGTGGAAGCTAGTAGCTTCCACCCATCCAGTTCCAGTCAGGTGCAGAGACAAAGGATGACCTTGGCTTTCTAGAAAGAATGTTGTTATGGCTACATAGCATTTAAATCTGTACAATCCCATTTTCCCACAATAGAAAAGTAGAATAATAGAAAGTGTGGCAGGCCAAAGATCCAAAAGGAATATGGCTGCAGGCTTGACACAGATGTTATTAGTTGCGGGGTTAAAGAAATTGCTTAAGCAGGGGCTCGGTTTAGAAGACCTTCAAGGTCCCTTCCAACTCTGCTTGTTATTCTATTAAATCCTAGGCTAGATTCAGAACATAAAAAAATATCCTAAAAGATAGCCATAGTAAACGGCCACTTAACGAATGACTGCAATCCAAGAATTACATGTGAAGAAAAACAAAATCAGTGCAGGATTAGAATTTGTGTCATTGTTGCTATTGTTACCGTTTGGCTGACCTATTTATGTTGTCAGGTTATTGTCTCCTAACCACTGGAAGCCTCTCTCATCCCTGCAGTGGAGAATGGAAAGTGTTTTCTGGCAACGAATTTGGAGCTCTTTTAGGATGGTGGCTGTACACATGCTGGAAAAATCAAAATCAGACTCCCAATGCCATTAAAGACGTATATATGTTAGCGAGCACCGTGTCCTCCAAAATATTGCGAGCAATCGCTCTCAAGGAAGGTTTTCATTTTGAGGTAAGGTGTTCTGACCTAGGCTACCCAAAAGCACGAAGCCGACTCCTCGTCCCGATAAAACACCTTTTATTTAGTTTTAAAGGGAATTCCTCTCAGGAAAAGTCCCGGCCAACAGTCTTCCAAGAGATTTATCGGGCTTGGATTCCCGCCAGGCCGATATCTTCCAAACACCACTCTGTAGCAGCAATTACTTGGCAGGAAGTCAAGAAGAGATCTTCATTCTAATGAATTAAACTAATTGTCTCCTGCAAACTCCCCTCCCCTTTAGTTCCTCTTTATTCCCTATGGGAGGGGCCATTCACCGTCCACTTGGGGCCTTACTCCTGAGTCGGCTCTTGTTCCTTAACTGTCCCTTCGTCTCGCAGCTCTGCGCATGCACACACTGGGAACAGGCTCCAGCTGTTCTTCTGCCTCACTGATGTCTGACTCGGAAGGCAGCTAATAACTGGCATACAGCTCTGGCCTCCTCTCTCCCTCCGACACAGAGCCCTCATCCGAGCCTTCCCCAGACTGCAGGACTGGCCCAGGTTCCTCACCCACCT